ACTATACCCATATACCCGCACACACCTTCCACACCATCCAGCTGCATCTCCACCTCATTACACCTGCTTAAAAGTAAGCGGTCAATGGGTTCATCTGCATCTTCAGCCGGACCGACCCACGGTTGGTTGCGCATAATACTGCCTGCGTTACTACCTCCCCTCCCTGTTCTCCTTGCTCCAACCTCAGACTCGGTACTACGGACGGGACGGTTAGACCCTCCATATCTACCTGAGAAGGGAGACTGTCTTCCTCTCTACTTCTTTCTCCTTAGCAGTCGCTAATAGTTCACATACGTGAACAAACGCTGTTGCTGTTAGTGCTGATCGGCAGATCATAGGCAGTGAAGCCTTACACTGCGATCACGACGGGCCATCTGAGGATGTGGACAGGGATGGCGGCTATGGACGAATACCTCGTCGAAGCTGAAGCCAACGAGCATGTGGTAAGTTCGGCTCAGAACACCGACTGCTCGAATCCTCACCACTTGCCCACTCACTACCAATCGGAACCAGAGGAACCTCACCCTCTGATGAGCCGTGATAGGCGCAAGCGGCGAAAAGCGCTTTAGGGGATGCGCCACCCCTTCTCCACCAGCTATACTGCTGGTGTTGATGGCATTGCCCATCACGCTCCCTACTCTTCTTCATCCTCCTCCTTGCTGTACTTCTCTTCTTTATGCATAAAAGTGTGTGCTTGGTTTGCTAGCCGATGCGGACGAGGAGAGACTGTTGCGGCTCCAGGATGACGTGGTATGTAGTCCTACCGCCTCCAGAAGTAAGGGTTTATCTATGGCTAATGGAGATTCCCATGAATGGGTTGCTATGGTTGCATATGGCACTTCGACACACGCATAACTATCGGACTCTGTCCTGTCGCAATGCAGGGGTCAAGCCCACGTGCTGATCTCCTCCCACTAGCCTACGATATATACCCCCACTTCTGCATAGTGTACTGGAACATACGTGTCATATGGTGTGCACACCTCCCTGAAAGTTAATCAGACGGTATAGCACCATACACTTTTTTTACGCCCACCTTACTGTACCCCTACCTCCTACCTAAGTAATCAACCCACACATATGCTTACCCTCCAAGCTCCCTCCACCACCCTAGTAAACCAATCATCTGATATGCCCGCCCACCTAACCCCCTCCACCTACCTGAGTGTTCCACTCACATATGAACCCACCTAATCATAACGATCGCACTATACCAGCTTCCCTGCTAGACTATACATAGCATCCATACAAACTAAAATTCCACACACACCGACATACATATCACATGCACAAAATTGATATCACACTTAACTATCGATAGACGGGCTATATCTATGCCAACACATGGATAATTGATAATCACAAAAGGTCATTTCCCCAAGATTATGCTTCCTTTATATCTTGCGTTTTTTTTATCGCTGAAACCTGCTCAACACTCCACGACGATATGAATCTAGCAACATACTTCTTCCTTCCCCGTTTTTTCCATTTTCCAATGTAGGAGCTTGCTTTAAAAAGGCAGATTTAACCGTTTTTTTCCAGGAATCCTGGGATAAGAAATTTAGGATGATTTCTGCTCAAACCTTCGTAAATAAGAATTGACCCTTTCCTGACTTTTGCGCGTGATCAGCCAAGACCCCGTGGCATGATGAATCGAGTATTAAATTTAAAACTTATTCACCTCGAAGAATTAAAAATGTTCCTTCCGTGATGTGTGCTCGTTGAAAACAAAAACGACCCGCCAACTAACCTTGTACTTTGTAACAGATCCAATAAAGACTTTCGCCCTTTTCGTAGCCTGCAGACGAATAAGCCCCTTTTGTTTCTGAGAATTGACATTTAATGTGTATCGCCACCGTTTTTTTACTAATTCCGCTATATTAGTTTGTTTAAACGAGACGATTCAACATTCTAATTTCCTACGGTAATCTTTAGACAAGGACTCAGGATGTGCACACGTATAAATGTATATTCCTTCTTCTCTAACAGAGTGATGTTTCTTTCCTATCAAGTATCTTTTTACGCCTCCTCTGACTATAAATCACGTTCATAGATTGAGAACTGGATTTAATAGCAGATTTTATCATCACGAGAAATATTCTCCCCCTCTTGACGCTCGTTCGCAACGACCCAACTAGGACATCCTCGTAGGATATACAGAAGCATACTCACTAATACTCGGTAATAGACCAAAATGATTTTTTTGCAACTTCTTGCAAATTTAGCCGTCAGCATGAGTTGCTATACTGAGACGTTATCACAACAAGCAAATTCCCTAAGAATTCGAGTCTCTGTTCAGGAAACGTCGCACGATATTGGGAACTAGCGAATAATACGCTCTACTCTCGGCTTACTTGTGCTTCTTCCAGACCCATGAACTTGAAAACTAGGCGGCGCATCCATTTAATCCTTTCCTCTATTCCAGATAGTTATTCGGGATATATCTGCTTATATATATGTATAGTATATACGAGACAGTTTTGTCACGACCCCTCGTTATTGTCCCCGTCTCCCTCGCCGCCTACGAAGTACCATGTAGATCTATATGTATACATAGAAATGTATATATTTCAAAGCCCCTTAAACTACGAATTGACCCTTCTTGTCGACTCCTCATTTATGTCTGCGCTAACAATAAGACAGGATTCCTTCGGCAGAATGGATTGATAAATGGGTTAAGAGGCAAAAAAAATAATTTCCCCTTGAATCCTGCAGGACTACAACTCGCTTTCGCAGATCTCAATCGGCACGGCCCGCTATGTACTGAGATGCAAAATAAGGCTCCCAGAGCATCTCTTTCAATTCACCATTAGTTGACCTATCAAAGTCGTACTCACCACATGCCATATCATCGGTCGGATAACACAAATGGCCTTATTAAGTCTCTACTATGGTACGAGCACTTTCCGCAATTAAATTTTTGCCTGTATCACACACATCGTATATCCAAAAGTTACATTCCTATAAGGAAACGACCTCATATTCTTATTTTTTTCCGCTCAACCGGATCAAACATGTAGCACACAAAATGCATCAATCATGACAGACTGGGGAACTCATTAATCCTTCATTTTTTTAGGGCAGCTGAGGTAAGCACAGTCCACTCGCATACTGAATGACCCACCACCAATCTTAAATGTATAACAACATGCACCGGACACATGCTGTGAGCGTATCCTCAAAACCCATACACTAGCTCCATAACGGAGTACTATGATACCCCACTCCCTCTCCACAAATGGCTAATTAAGTCTCCCCCACCCCCCAGATTGCCTCGCTCATCCTCATTAGATATTTCATGAAAGGTCGATTTCTACCTACGTATCTTTCACACTCATGTTTGAAAAACTGATTTAGAAAGTAAAACATAATCTCCACAGGACTCCTGCAATACCCCAAAAAACCCTTGCAGATGCATACTCGCCAACAGACATTAGTCCCTCTGTAACCCGTACTCTCCAAAAAAAGCCCAAATATTGTACCGATTACTCTCCCCATCATTACTAATTAGTACCAATTTTTTCCTTCTCGCTCTGTCTTAACCTCCTCCACCATTGCTCCCGGCATGGCACACGGATTCGAGTATAGGTACTCAAACATTCGTTGCATACATACGCGGCCTTGGATCCGACTACCGATTCATACAAATAGTATCACCCGCTGACCCGTATACCTGTTTCGCCACTCCTAAATTACCAAATTAACCCTGATCGACGATATAAGCTGTCGGCGATAGTGCGACATATGATTCGCAGCAACCATGACGTCACTGACCTTTTCCAAAAATCCTCTGCAGTAGAAAAATACGTCCGCACATTTTCCCCAAAAAAACAACACAAACGACCAAACTAATAGAACACTAGGAGTGGTGCCTGATTAGCATGTACGTCTCTGAAGATGATGAACAAACCCTCCCAACGCTCGCACTGGATCCATCCCCACCAAAACAACCGTCCTTGAATCTGATGTATCAAAATGATGCGACCACATTACGACAACGAGAATCCAGTCCACCGCCTCACAATACCTCATCTCCCTCGTGCTCCCGAAATGACAATTGTGAATCTAGTCTACCGCCTCATATCCGTAAACCTTTTTTTGCCACCTCTTGATTACCAAACTAAGCTTGAGCGACGACATAAGCTGTGATGTTACATATCCAGGATAGTTCAACATATGACCCGCAGCTACCATGGTATCACCAATTTTTCTCATACGATCCCCCTATATCCACTAAGAAACGACACAAACGACCAAACTAATAAAGCACTAGGTATGGCGCCTGATCAGTAAGCACATCGTTGAAGTTGACGACAAACCCACCCAGTCTTCACGCTGAAACAACCACCCTTGAGTCTGGTACATTCAGCAAAGAGATCATATTACGACATCGTGATCCCACTCTACCACCCCTTAGTACCTCGTCTCTTACATGCTTTTGAATAGATTGTAGCGGAAACCGAAGCATGCGCCGAAGAAGGTACTAGCGCTTGCGACACCACATCATCTCTGATTCCGACCCTACACTTATCCAACATGCCCCCGCATAGAATGATCCTATGTTTGAATTCGAAGGACGACACCTGTCAGCCCGGCTGCTTCACAACCCCCGATACAACCTGAAGATCCTTACCGATCCAGCCATATTTACCTCCCTACAGCTATTAGGTAGTACCCGTCTGGAACTACCATTGCTTGCCGATCGCACGCTCCTCCCTATGACCCCCCCAAAAAAAAGAAGGAAAACTTTCGTATACAGATTACGCCGACCAGTATGCCTGATTACTAATACAGCCCACTACCAAATTACGATAGGCTTCCTATCCGAAACACTGGAAAATAACCAGTATTCACCATAGCAAAGATTTTATGACGACAACTTGCTACATCCTTACATCCTAACCGTAAACTGCTTACCCCCGTGAGATACGCAAAAAACATACCCCCATACTTAATAACCCCTCACAACACCCTTCACTCTTAACCCGTCACAACACCCATCACTCAAGACCCAACTATACAAATCTGTGTCCCCAACGATCAACCACACCACTGCCAACCCTTATTAAACTGGATCAAAGACATGATCGCTCACATACCCTACTCCCACATATCATAGCGCAGCTCCCCATGCAGGTAAGGGTGCGCGACCAATGGTGCATCCAGTTGTGCCTCCCACTCCGCAATCCCACACATGCGACCATCATGCTCATTAGCCACAGTTGACAACAACAGACGAATGATCTTCTCAACAAGATCGTCTCCACCAACCCCAGGCGAATTCGGCACATCATCATGCACCTTTGTCACAAAGACCCACACATCTCGCAGATCGTCCCCTACATAGCCCAACCCCAGCTTTAAACGTAGAACCATCATGCCATTTGCATCAACTACATAATTACGATAACCGAAACGGGTATCCGCTGCAACAAACCTGAAGTCACGATTGGGCATACAATCCCGTAGCTCAGTCATCTCATAGATCACTACGGTACGACCACGCACTTGCCCCCGACACACCACTACGGCCTCCATCACCGTCTCAGAACACGAAGCTAACAATACAACTGGAATTAAATTTGCTCTATATCTGCCAAGCCAAAAAAACCCCCACCAACTACGAAATGTCAGCGCGCCACCACCTCGATAGTAATAACCTTCACACACACGACTACCGTTTTTATACTTTGTGCGCATGAGGAAACACACACAAAAAACCTCCTAGAAAAAACACTCGCCCAAAATAGGCGCACATTTAATCCACGAACTGGAACGGGCCAAAACACAGAAACCTCACACCCAAACAAAAAGACCCCCCTGAGAAAAAACACTACCCCCTCCCCCCCGAAAAAACACAGATAACTAACTTACCCCTTGCCAACCACCGACAAACATCGAACCAACAAAAAACAGACCAAAAACGACTTCCGGAACGACAACCAATATGAAAATCTAACGAACCCTTACCCCCCTTAAATACCACATTAATCACCACCCCCATCACCCACCCCACACCCCCGCAGTAATAATACAGCAGCAATTCAACAACGCATAGGATCGACAAACATAAGTTTCCTTTCCAAATGGATACGCAACATTTCTACTTTTTCTTTTTCTTTTTGATCTTTCAATCCTGCTTTAACGAAGACGGTAAAATTAGCACGAGACAGACAAGACTATTTCTCGCTATAAGAAAGGTATAATTTTTTTAAAAATAATAATGCATGACTCCACTCAGGGACAAGCTGCTATCTATTCAAATATAAGGCTATTTGCAATCTGCTCCCCCTTATCCACTCTAGTAACAATCGCTACTGCACCTGCTTAACACCTTACTATATTTAGATATCCAGCAAACCACTTGCTAACCCTCACAGCATGCAATTTATACCCTTAATCCGAATATGCCCATTCTTCGCTCGCCGGATGCGCCCGACAGCATGACCTCGTTGAGAAAGCTCACCGACTCATCCACCCGGCCCCTCCTGATAGCCATGTAAAGACCACCTTGCTACAAAAAAATAACACAAAATAATAAAAAGTAACTCTCCAATACAGCAAACCTCCACAAAGGAATGAAACCAATAGATATTTATATATATATATATATATCTGTTTGTGATGATGATATATATATATATATATATATATATATATTTGACGATACATATATATATATATATAGATATATATATATAAAAAGAATAATAAATAAAAATAAAAACAAAAATAAAAATAATAATAAAACTGAATTAATCAATATATAAACCACTAGAATATTAATAAGTCGCAGATTTCCTTGCTCTCTAACACACCAGCACAAAAACCATCCTGAAAAAACACGATCTGTTATGATTTTTCAAATAATTAACACACTAAAACTCGACTGTGTACCGATGTGTCTGTTGCAGGATGAATCCGAAGCAACTAATGGCTGGCACCACGAGCTTGCTGAGAAGGCCAAGAACTTCATCCAGCTCTCGCCGCCCAGCGTCCACGCACAGATCGCCATGCTCGCCCTCCCAGAACAAGTTCTGAACAAGGTTCACAATGCCACCAACGGGCAAACCCCGTTTCTCATCGAAAATCTCCTCTTCTCAGATTGGACACTCATCGTGTCCAAATGGAAAGAGTTTAGAGGAGAAGAAGACCCCATCATCGCAGCCTACACCAAGGACCTGCCCGCAATAATCAAGCAGGCTGCCCTACAGAACAGAGAAATGGAGAAAACCGTCTCCAAATCTGAGAAGGTCGTACTAGACCTTCATGGCTTCAACTCTGCGCATCTCAGTACCCCAGGTGAGGTGACCACTCACGAATCATCATACGAGCAGAGACTCAGAATGCTTGAGCACCTCAACCCCACTCAAGCCAAAAGAGAATGGTATCTCAAAAGAATCGCCGAAAGACAACAGGAGGCTGCAAAGCCTACCATGTCTACACCCACACACCGTAAATCTGGCTTTTTTTAAATGTCTCCCGATGCGCCATTTATCCCGGTCCAAACTGCCAGGTGGATTGAGGGTATCAACAACAACCATGATAACAAACTCTGGTTGCTTGATTCCTTCAACCACACTGCCCCCATATCCATCCAGGCATATGTGGCATTGGCCAATCTCACTGAGTTGGACCTCGCTGAGTGCAGAGAGGATGCCAAGAAAGCAACCATCTGCAAAGCAACGATTGATGCCAACTTCCCAATCCTTGGACCACTTGACTCGTCCAAATGCCCGACATCCCACCCCCTACTCCACAAAAAAACGATCTAGAAACCCACAATTGAGCTCTACGAGTTCAAAAAGTTGTGGAACTCAGACAGACCGTATTTAAAGTGTAGTTGCCCATCACACAGCAGCGTGATCACATGGTTTGACCACATGCTGTGGTTCTACATTGCCAACCTTGACATCTTCGAGGCAGATGTGCCTTCGGACATGATGAGGATGGTCGAACTAACAGATAAACTGCAAAATGAATGGAAGAAACCTGTCAAACTGCAGGTCACCTTCCTATACATGCGCAGACACATGATGAACCTAACCTATCTGCTTGTTGCTTCCCCACAGACCAGTATGGAACAACTCTGCGGCAAAGCCCCATACAGGGACATGCCACTGGCCAGAAAGATTATGGCCACACTCCTACCCCCCGTTAGCAAGACCACCACCCCTTCACCAACATCAACCAAACGCAAAGATCACCCCACACCAGGCATAATCCAACGCAGCAGAAACAGACAAACCACAATCGCATTCACTTCACCACCCCCCACTCACATCCGGCCACCAGCTGAACCCACAGCACACGCAACACTACTCCACACGCACACAAACCCCGCTCCTCAACAGCACCCGTGCAACACACCCACACGCACACCACCAACAACCCAACGGCACCCCACTACAGCAGCACCACAACAAACACCACCACCACCGCAAGCACAATAACCACAATCTATCACTACAGCTCCCCCGCAAACGATTACGGTTCACCACAACGCCCGCAGAGCAAGGAAGAACACTACTGCCCTCCCCCACCCTCCAAAAAGATCACAGAAAGGCAGATGGAAAAAGCGCAAGGAAAGACTCGCTGCAGCAAGGAAAATGCAGCAGCAGCAAACAATCCCGCAACAGCAAGCGCAGCAGCACCCCGACACCAGCACTGAACCCCAGCATGCTAGCCAACACATGACCAACCCCCCTGCCCACACGCATGTCGGCACAACCCAACACCCCACTGCACAGATCATCGCTCCAACCAGCAACGCACAGCACACGCTCCTCCCAGTACCCCCCACCCACCCATCACAACTCATTTTTGTGCAAGCCCAACAATTCATCCGAACGGTCCTCAGCCACCAGCCACAAAGGTCTGCACCTGCCCTTTCTGCAGCCAATGCAGCCCCAGCCCTCTCACAAAACACAACACAGGCCAAACGATGGCTCCCACCCATCCACCAATTCCTGTCCCAGTACCACCAGTGAGCAACACTGCTCCCATCCACATCCCATGAACAAGGATCTCAACGACAAAACCCAATCGTCCTCGAATCACCATCCCCAGATAAACCACCAAGGAACATAGCATCCTTCTCGAACCGTACAATGTTGAATGCTCCTTAGTCGACCCCGAACTTGACGATAGCTACTCCGCTGACATCGTTCACGAGACCATCGATGTACAGGTCAACAGCAAGCGGACCAGGAGGAATCTCAGCGAAGACTACAACCACGGAGGGTTGATGCTCACGGACCTCTGATACCTTACGCTGCCACAACCATCAAGAGACCCACGCGCAAGCTTCAAGAAAGGACTGCACAAGTCCGACTCCGAGAACCTGGCTCAAGTTTTTGCATCTACTGCTACATCTACCGGGGTTACCTCTTGTTTACCATGTTCCAAGAAGCTCAGCTAGCACAACACTCCAGTTGTGCTCTTCACACACCCAGATCCGGCCCAAATTTCCATGGTATAGGGATGGCAGTACATAGGAACTACAGTTAGTTCAACATGAGGAAAAGCAAACAGCTGCTAAACACAACATGTAGAATAGTTGCTACAATAGAATAATGTTGGTCGCATGTTCTTCACCAATCAAATTGCTGGCATACAAGTCATGCAGACACGTGCCTCTTTTTGATATAAGAACACACTACAATAAAGTTCCCATAAAAAATGATTGGCCTCCCGCAGCTTCTGGTTGTTGTCCCCCTAAGGACTGGCTTTTTAATGATCTCTGAACAAAACTATTACACCCCCTTCTCTTTGTTTTCCCCCCCCTCTCTCCCTCCATCTCTCACTCTCTCCTACTCCCCCCTCCCCAGCTTGAGCTTCTGAACACTGAACTCACACTCGCCCACTCCCCTCTGTACATCAGTGTTATGAATCTTGCAGCCTGACTGAATTATTTCCCCAAAAAATGATACAACAACAACCTAAATGATCAGTGTGCAAGTTCCTCCTCTCTCTCTCTCTCTCTCACCCTCAGTCTCTGCACTTCCTGCTGTTTTCTTCTGCCGCTCTTAACCCTCTTCCCCCCATCACCCCTACATACTACAATCACCCGCGCACGATCAACCCCCCCCCCCAACCATCCTAATGATATCTTCCACCGACCCCTACGCCAAAAAAACAATACAAAATAGGACAAATGACCTTTTTTTGCAGTAATTTTTCTGCCCTTAGAAATCTACGCAAAATCATAAAATCTGCCTGATAAATTAAGTAATCCAGATACCCCATGCACCCAACAAATAAATAAAACAAGCACCTTAAACTTAAAAAGGCAGATATGACATGCCCAACTAATGCGTTTTAAACCTCTGCTAATTTGGGTTGCAGGAACCCCTCGGAAGACTAGAACGGCTCCCGCATGGAAGACTCGACTGGCGAAGTAACAAGGAACACCCCAAACACATAATAAACATCCACTACAGGAACAGACTATTCGAACGCATTAAACCCAGAAGACTCTTTGGCACCCTTCTCACCAAATTCATCCCACAAGCCCAAAACGCCCTTGACAACTTCACGTTTGGTTGGACATATGATAACCACTTGGCCCAACTGCTGTATAAACCAATAGCATTCTTTTAGAACTTTGAAATAGAAGAATGGTACGAACAACAAAATGACAGATGTTTTTGTCAGCAACACCGGTTTAAGGAATTCATTAACAACATATCCGACTCAGTACTCCCGGAAGACATGGAACCCCATGTGATCACCCTGGACATGAAAATTTTTGCAAACCCCCAGCTTAGAACACTAATTGAAAATTGATTAAACCATATCCCCCTTGTACAACTCAACCAACATAGCGTCATGCATGAATGTTCACTGGCCTGGACAAAAATAATCGATGCACTCCAATCAGAACATACAATTCCACAAGAACAAATCATTGCAGCCACACAGGAATTACACAGAATAATGGTAAACTGCCTACAAAGATACCCAAAAAACAATGCACCAAACCCCCACAACCATGCAATACAAAAACAGATAAAGTACATAACCTCTCACTTCTATATATCCGGGACTGACAAAGCACCTAACACACCAACTGTCTGCTGTATCAATCTTATAAGATTCCTTGCCCTACAACGACTATCCGGACCCGACTTTACACCATGCCACATAACCAAGAACGAACTACTCCATGTACTCACACAAGAACTCACCATACGCTTCCCCACAATCCCACTCGGAGAACCCGCGATACCCTACCATTTTGCCACATACAAAAAACATAAAAATACATTTCGCTGGCTTACAAACGCGGCCAACGTCATCTTCTCCCTACTTGCAGACGCCTGTTCAACGATACTAAATAAACTCAAAGAAGCAGTCCAAGAACGCTGTGGCCTGCTATCCGAACAAACACTCCAAAAGACTGGCGAAAACGTCCCTTTTTGGTGGATCATGGACTCCACAACAGACTACATATACAACATTCTCACCCTCATGAACAATGTTTTTGCAGCAGACATAACCCGTTGCTACGAAACCATTCCGACAGACCAATCAATGGACGGCTTACCAAATGTCATCTCATTCTTCGTCCAGCTAGCTTTTACTACAGCAAGGAAAACGTACGGAAGAAATGCCACTCTCCACTATGAAATCAGAACGAACACGGACACACCCACCTTTAAATGTTATTGGACCGCAAACCAAGATCCCTCCAGACCATCCCTTTCCCCGCAAGACATCATACAGATGAACACATGGCTAATCAACAACGCATACACCTCCCTTGGCAACCATACATGGAGGCAGACACTCGGAATCCCAATGGGAGTTAGTTGCTCACCCATATGGTGCAACATATACTTCTTCAAATTTGAGTATAAATTCATGAAAAAACTCACACGCAACAGAAATCAGCACCTACTACCATTTTTTTCACACACATTCAGATATTTCGACGACTTACACACGATCAACAACCCCTACATTAAAAAATTCATTAACCCAGAGATCACTAGCCCAAGGAGTGTGTACTACCTATACCCCCTTAAATTCGTAACGCTAAATGATCAAACTATATACTCCATGAATCCCGAACCAATTGGTACAGAATGCAACTTTCTAAACGTAACCGTCAAAATAACCAACACACAGCAAGACACCTTCTCAACCCACAAGTATGACAAAAGAAACTTACTGAACGTCAATATCATCCGACTGCTTAAATTCGATTCTAACCGCCCCATCGCACAATCACTCAAAACTCTGATCCCCCAAATCGTCACCATTATGACAATAGAAAATGACAGCACAAACGCAACAAT